TTCAGGATTTTCATTTTTTGGGTCAACTAATGTGGAATAGGGCCCAATAATACATAATTTTATGAGTCTGATTACTGTTGCAGGTCAATAGCCTTTTACTCCTTTTCACTACGCTCTATGCGAAACCATACTTTAAAATAGAAAAAACCTCGGTTTTGAAAGCTGTGGGCGAGCTTTTTGTAAATCGAGTGAGTACCAGCTATTCTCAGCTTCAGTTTTGTGTTGAAAATGCTTTAGTTTGCTGTAACTCCGGCCGTCAACTTTCTTTCTGTTGTATGCCGAAAAGGAGGACAGGAACGAGACATTGCGTTTGATCTTCTTGGAAATCTGGTGACGAAGTAGGTTTTACCACAATTTAGCTTCTATCAGTCTAAATCTTATTATATAGATTCCCCACAGCGTTTGATATGGTAAAACCACTTTGTATCCCTGCTGTCAACGATCCTCTGGATCTTTTGAAAGCGAAGCTCAAACTCATGACCACGCTTTGTGTATCGACGTGAGTGAGTTCTATAATCTATTCCTCATGGTCCATATTAAAATATATTTAGCGACCGATCTGATGAGTTGCTTCCATCGCTATCAGACCTGTTGAAAAAAGATGCCGTTACAGTTGAAGCCGCTATTTCGGTGGTAAAAGTCCTTTGCAAGGAGGATGTAAGTTTTTATCAACATTTTTTGACTTTAAATTCTCTTAATATCCATTTGAGATTTTGGATGTGGATACTGTCCGAAAACAACTGGGGAATAAAGTTAGGCAACCCGGTTTCGAAGGACCACTTGCTGGATATTGTGAGATTCTAGCAACTGCTGCTTCTTTGAAAGAGCAAGATGAAGGGGTCAGCTTTTCCGTATCTATTATTACAATTATTTCCATTTCGGATTCAGGATCTAGTAGCTGACTGTGTGAAGGAATTGTGGGAGATTACTGAGATCCGTCGCGATGGCTCTGAGATAGTCACGGCACGAAAATCTGCTTGGACAGCTCTAGGTTAGTGCTGTGTATTTCTAAAAGGCTTTTCGTCCATTCAAGCAGATAAACATTTTTTAATTATTGTCTTTCTTTGAGTTGAGAGTTTTCGCACTTGTTTTTTTCGTTTTATCGGCGTACTCTAAGAGTCTTACTCAAAAGGACGTTTCAGTCTCTCTTTGAAAATTTTTGCAGCTTGCTTTGATGCCTTATCGCTCATCAGTGTCATATGTAAAACCCCACAAGACTGGATGACTATGTTTGCCGGACTTGAAGCAGAAGAAAGGAAAGGTAGAATATCTTTTCTCCAGAATGCTTCGATAAAGATTTTTGATTTAGGTTTGATTCTTCTCCTCCAAAAGCTTGTCGCTGGTGATCTGGAGTCTCTGTCGAGAACGCTCTACACTAAGGAATACATCCATAAATCCGCGTTAGCCACCTTCATCACTAACCTCCATAATGCACTGAAGAGGACTCACCAAGAGGTCCGCGCTTGTTTTTGCATTATGCTATGTGGAATGGCAAATCTAATTTTAGGCGCCTTGGTTCTGGTCTGCAACTCTACCGCTTTTTTCCGTGATCGCGAATGAGTTTGCAGAGAGTGGTAAAGGTCTACAGGCTATCAAACTTCTTCGACGAGTTTTACGCGAGGTAAGTGCTTGAAAGCAGACTCGGCAGAATGACAGCTTTGGTAAAGTCATCGCTCTAGGTTCCCTGACTGAGCTAAGTCCAAGGCTGTGCTTTGCAGTTTCAAAGATATTAGTTAACCGCTTTTCCAGATGCGGAAATTGCTGTTTGGGCGGGTCGGGAAGGTGGCTGCTGGAGCCAGTGATTCAATAGCCGCCGAGTTGGGTACGCTGTATCCACTCACGAGCTAGTCGCG